ATACGATAATATTACCTATTGTAAAGATCTCAATGATGTTTGGAACGCGTGTCATGATTTTAACGAGCTAAATACACTTTTGGTCGATGATTCAGCGGAAAAATGATTTATAATCCGGTAAGTTGCATTTATGCAATATGTTTTTCCAGTTAAACAGGTGTTCATACATTGATTATTTTAACAATTTATGTGTTTATATAGAAATACAATTACATATGTCCACATACCTTTGACGCTTCTTCCCATTCGAACGACAATGCTCTAGGTATGACACAAATTTATTCATGCTTATGCGAATTTAGTTTATTGTTAGTAAAATTGCACCTCATTAGTTTGATAATTGAAATTATTTATGTTTGTCCTCAGAAAAAGGCGGAAACATACGAGAGTATTTGGAAAATTTGTTGAATGTGCCTAATGTTCCGGACTTCGTTAGAAATAACCCTTTTTCATCGGATTAATTTCGTTGTCGGTACATTATTTGAACATTGTTGTGTATGTATCTTTTGGTTTGATTATATTGTGTGTATATTTTCATTAATTATTCCATATTTGCTTCTTTGTATACAGATACATTTGAGGATTGTTGAAATATCAATACTAGTTTTCTATAATGTATCCAAACTTAAAGTTTCCCATAAAGTGTCGATCCATATATAAAAAGTAACGACCCAAAAAAATCGAAATCCATAATTATAATGTAATGGGTAATTTTTCAATAAAACCAGTATAAATATACCGGTTTTATGAAAAATATGTCTACAACATTTATCGACACTTATTAGTATTGTGTCGATAATTTTTGTCCAGAATGGATGCCAAAAAGGGGGAACCTACAAAGTGTCGATACATTTTCATAGAGTGTCGATCCAAAAGGGTTGCACGTATAAAGTGTCGATACATTTATTAAAAGTGTCGAACCCAAAAATATCGAAACCCATAATTATAATGTAATAGGTAATTTTGTAATATAACCGCTATACATATACCGGTTTTATGAGAGAATAGGTCTATAATATGTATCGACACTTATTAATATTGTGTCGATAATTTTTTTCCATAATGGATGCCAAAAAGGGGGAACCTACAAAGTGTCAATACATTTTCATAGAGTGTCGATCCAAAAAGGTTGCACGCATAAAGTGTCGATACATTTATTAAAAGTGTCGATCCCAAAAACACCGAAACCCATAATTACAATATAATAGGTAATTTCTTAATATAACCGGTATACATATACCGGTTATATGAGAGTAATATGTATCAACACTTATTAATATTGTGTCGATAATTTTTGTCCATAATGGATGCGAAAAAGGGTAACACATAAAGTGTCGATACATTTTCAAAAAGTGTCGAACCCAAAAGCATCGAAACCCATAATTATAATGTAATATGTAAATTTACAATGTAACCGGTATAAATATACAGGTTTATGAGAGAATAGGTATACAACATGTATCAACACTTTGTTGAAAAACCCCAGGTTTTATTGGCTATGCTGTCAACATGATTAACCTGGATAATCCCAGTTACAAACCTGATTCCGGCCATGATTGCGGGAGACTATACTCTACAGATTGTTTGGCATTTATGTGATGATGCTGATGAAATATTAAACGGTATCGTAATCCAAAATAAAAATAGACTAAGAGAGTAAATTTTGTAAATATAAGGTTAATTTTGTATAATTTACATTATACTCAAACTGAGCTTGACTTGAGGACATGTTAGTTTGTTATGTCCCTCACCGTTGCAGTACCCACATCGCCTAATTATCTTCTCGACCTTGTTCTTCGGTACTTCTTTTCGCTTGCGTTGTTTTCGTTGAGGGTCACGAACTTTGTTTACTATAATGCTCTGGTTGACTGAATCATTCAAACCAAACGAGTTTTCTAATTCTTCTATTACTCTTTTCATCTCATCTTTTGCGGTTTTGAAAGACTCGTCTGTCTTTGATGCAATGTAGCATAACCTACTTGACGTTGAACGTAGAGCAACGAACCGTGCCATTTGCATCACTTCTGGAGACACATTCAAGTCAACATAACTGGGTGCAGAAGCCTTCACATCATTAGTCCACCTACTTTGAATCAAAGTCTCGGGCAAATATGTGTAATCCAAGTGCTTCAAAATGTGAAGTTGATGGCGACACGGAAGTCCAACGGTCTCGAATTTTTTGTAGGAGCAAATTAGGGTTTTCGTACGAGAATCAAAACTAATTTCAAATTTCCTATTTTTTTCTTTGTACTTTGACAAAATATAATGTTCACATTCATCTGATAAGGACTGAATCTCTGCCTCAATTCGATACAATGTCTCCCGTAGAAGTTCATCTTGGAACGCACGAAAAGATATGCGTGTAAAAATCGCAGCAATATGGTTTTCAAGGTCGAACAGTTTTGTGATCTGGAAGGGCTTCGTATGGGAACTTAAGTAATCCACTTTCAACTCGTTCATACGCATTCTACTAATTCCATCTTCAATTGCACGAACAACATCTAACTATGTCTTCTTGTGTTTCAGTGCAATCGCTAGTGAAACATTCATAGACTCGCACCTTTGTGTTGAGCGAATATTGGCAAAGAAATGACCGGTTAGATATGCTTGTGCCCATAAATGTCGTGTATTTCCCTTCTAAATCACCCATGGATGCTTTTCGATGTTGAATTCTGAAACAACCGAACGCCATTGAATATCAAATTCCTCGGTTGTCCACCAAGAAGCCATGCATTTTGAGAATGTTACTGTAAATTTTGGTTCACCAATGTTAGCTTGTGCATTACGAGAAAGATGCCAAGAACCTAATATGTGCTTAGCATAAGGGATAACATATTTGATAGCCATCTCCATTGCCTTATCCCCATCGGTGACAACTGAAATAGGTGATTTATTCATCATGGCTTCTAAAAAATTCTGTAGCACCCACTCAAAAGATTGAGACGTTTTGTCAGCGATTATGGCAGTGGAAAACACAATTGTGTTATGATGATGATTGACACCGACAATAGGCATAATTTGTAGACCATACAAATTATCTTTGTACATTGTGTCGAACGCAATTACATCACCGAAGCATGTGTAATATGATCTTGATGTAGAATCCGACCAAATAAGATTATACAATGCCCCTGATTCGTCTATCGAGTATGTCATAAAAACCCGAGATCTTCATGTTTCTTATACTCAAAGTAGGCAATAAGCGCATTCACATCCCCATCGACAATTTCCTTTGCTTTACCTCTTTGAAGTGCATTGTAGAGGTCTTTATGTGTAAATCCAACATTATGATAGCCCCCTGCCTGCTGCGTTAAATAGTTCATTACTTGTGACGTGCCAACACCGTTCTCTTTCAATGTCGTTGCCTCATCGATATCAGCCTTACTTACAACTATATTAGAACGCATAAATGGTGTCATAGCAGGTGTGCACAATGCATGATTATGTTCCTGATAAGAATTACTTATAACCCACTGATCGTTTGTATTTATTGTTGTAACTACGACTCTAGCCTTACATCCTGTTCTTGTGACTGGCGTATGAGCACGTTGACGATTAACAATATTGACTTTTGATGCTCGAAACCCTTCTTTGGAACAACAAAATTCTTGTGTCTTCACATTCCCTTCCACTTCAAGCCGTGTTGTTCCCTTACGTGCACTAAACCCATGTTCCCATGCAAATCCCTTGTAAAAGTACCAAGCTTGATCACGTGAACAAAAGAGCTGACCAACCAATCTGTCAGATTCATCAACATTATGTACTTCATGGCATTCCTCGGTTGGGTTAACATTGTCTGCATCAGTATGATCCATGGCAAAAATTTTGTTGTGCAAGTTCAGTGGTCCCGGAGTTGATGGAGATATAAGCAAAGGTTCATTGAACATGTTTCAGTCGTGTTGCTTTCAATAGGATGTGGTATTGGTAGTGGTAGTTAAAGGGTGGGTACAACATTAAATTCGCATTACATATTTAGGTATGTACAATAACTACCTATATATGTGTCGATACATTTTATACAAGTATCGACCCAAAAAACATCAAAACCAATAATTATAATGTAATAGGTAAATTAACAATGTAACCGGTATAAATATATCGGTTAATTAGAAAACATGTCAACATAATGTATCGACACTTGTGTAATTTGTGTCGATACTTATTGTCCAGGATGAATGCACAAACGAGGTGCACGCATAAAGTGTCGACACTTGATAAATTTGTGTCGATACTTTTGGTCCATAATGAATACCAAAAAGGGTGCAACCATAAAGTGTCGATACATTTATAAAAAGTATCGATCTCAGAAACATCGAAACCCATAAATATAATGTAATAGGTAAATTTTTAATGTAACCGGTATAAATATACCGGTTTTATGAGAGAATATGTCTAAATAATGTATCGACATGTTGTTAGTTTGTGTCGATATTTTTTTCCAGAATGAAATATGAATGCCCAACCAGGTGCAAGCATAAAATGTCGATACATTTAAAATTGTATCGATCTAAAAAACATCATAACCGATAATAATAATGTAATAGGTAAATTTACAATGTTACCGGTATAAATATACCGATTTACTTCGAAAATAGGTCAATATAAGCGCTACCTTTACATTATATAAGAGCTACCTAATATGTTATTTTACTTGATAATATTTTCGGTTAAATGCCTATTTTATTATATAAGCGCTACCTATTACATTATATAAACGTTACCTAATATGATATTGTACTTGATAATATTTCCGGTTAAATGATATAACATTACCGATTAAAATTTTAACCGATAACATTATTTTTTAACCATTTTTTAACCGCCGTACAGCAAAACTTCGCACCTTTTTCAGTTCATTTAAATTTCCTTTATACAGTTGCAATGAATGAGTGCAAACTCTTTGTTTTTTTATATAAAAAAAAAAGTTTGAAGCATCTATCGGTTAAATTCGTTAAAAAGAGGCCTCGATATGTCGATACAATAGAGGTATCTTCAGCCACACAAATCAAACCCGCCAAATTTCGCCTCCTGTTTTGTATCTCGAAAACTGAGCCTCTCAATTTTAGACCAACAACTGAAGCAAAGCGGCCATGGCGTCTCACTCCACGCTCTTTATCTCTCCTCGAAACTTCTCCTCCACCTTCTCTTCTTTCTTTTATTACTCCCCACAATTCTTCACTCTCCAAACCAAAAAGCCATCGTCACTTTCCTTAACGAACACCACAATTAAGCCAAGACGACTCTTGGTCTCTGCTTCCCATTCCCTTCAAGCTCTCATTTTTGACTGCGATGGTGTCATTCTAGAATCCGAACACCTGCACCGCCAAGCTTACAACGATGCTTTCGCTCACTTCAATGTCCGTTGTCCTCCCTCTTCACAGCCCCTTAACTGGGACCCTGATTTCTATGATGTGCTCCAGAACCTGATTGGTGGTGGCAAGCCCAAGATGAGATGGTTCGTTTTCCCCCCTCTTTTATTTTGTTTGCTGATCGGTTTGATGGAGATTTTTGGTGTTTCTGAAGGTACTTCAAGGAAAATGGATGGCCGTCTTCTACCATTTCTGAAACGCCTCCTGAGAGTGATGAGGAACGAGCAAAGTTAATCGACACTCTTCAGGTATTATTATTATCGCTTTACAGTAGTGTAAATGAATCGCCTCTTTTTATCATTATTGTTTCCATGTAGTGTAGTGGTGATTATTTTGAATTACGAGATTTTACAGCGGTCCAATTAAGCTTTAATCTGTTCTTTGTTTAGGAATTACCTGTTTTCCCTCTATAGGATTCTCTTTATTGAGGAACTTATGTATGCGATGCTGTTACATCTTTGTAGGATTGGAAGACTGAAAGGTACAAAGAAATAATCAAATCTGGAACTGTAAGCAGAAACTACTGTTTATTGCATTGCAGGTTCTTTTATCCTTCATTTCTCTGATTCTAAAGAGAGTGGTATCGTTTTGATCGGGTGGAACCTAGACCTGGAGTTTTAAGATTGATGGATGAGGCCAAGGCTGCTGTAAGATACTACTTGTTCGTCATTTCAATTGAGAATTATCTTCATGTTCTTTTCATTTTCCATTATTCCACAATTGAAGCAATGCAAGCTTTTGTTTCTGTTTTCCCTTGTCTTGCCAACTCATTGAACCCATTTCTTCATATTTGGTTGCAATGGATCGTGCAGAAATTCTTTTATTAAGCTTTTACTGATGCAGTTTTCTTTTTCCTCTCTTACAGGGGAAAATGCTAGCTGTTTGCTCTGCGGCAACTAAAAGTTCAGTTGTACTCTGTCTTGAGAACCTTATTGGAATGGTATGTTCTTGTGGATACACCCAGCCTGCAGGATATTGTCTGCTTTGACCTAAGAGTCTCATAGTTTTACCTTGAGGATGGACCGTCACCCCTGAGAATTTCAAATTATTATATATTTTAGATTTTTTATTTGTATTCTCTATTATATTCTCTATTGTTAATCTGTTTTCGACCCTAGAATTTGATAAGTTTGTCCTGTCGTAAAATTTAAAAATTCATTCATCTAGCATAAAATTCTGCGTCCGTCCCTGGTCTGCATACTGCAACACTAGTGAGACAAAACAGTGAGAATTTTGGGTTAAAGCGGACAATGCCTTACAAGTGCACATTTTTTATTCTATATATCATTGATCAACAAGTATCCTCACATCTGTTTCCTTGTTATTTTACTTTTTCCATTGTCACAGGAGCGATTCAAGGGTCTTGATTGCTTCCTTGCAGGTTAGTTGAGTACTTCTAAAATCGTCTGGTTTGGTTGTTAGATGTGCTTTAGACCTAAGTGAATCAAAACATATTGAATTTCACAAGTCAACATATTCTTCACAATAGATAAATGAGGTGCTTCTTTCTAGGGGAATTATTGACTTTTCTTTTAAATAGTCAACCAAAATTCAGCTTCTAAATGCCTCGCAAGTGATAGGGGAACCCTTTATCCTCATTTCTTCTATGCTTTTAGGTGATGACGTGAAAGAAAAGAAGCCAGACCCATCGATATATCTGACAGCTGCCGAGGTAACTTACTAGTGAACTCTATCATTTGCATTTAACCATAATGTTACCTGTGCTCATTTTTCCATCTTTCAGCTTTTTCTTGCTATAGCAGAACCTGATTTAGAAATCTTATTTGTGGCAGAGATTAGGTGTGTCAGAGAAAGATTGCTTGGTGGTAGAGGATAGTGTGATTGGTCTTCAGGTAAAGCTACTATTCTCTGGTTTAACAGTTGGAGAAACCTGCATTTTATCTTAAATTCATCAGAAATTTTCAAAGAAATTGTCTCCAGATCTAGTTTGGGCATTGCATGCACTTAACAAGTTTATCGACCATGGTTAAAGCTTTAAGCAAACCTATTCCATCTGTGCAGGCTGCAACAAAAGCTGGGATGTCATGTGTGATCACTTTCACTTCTTCAACTGCTGACCAGGTAAGGTCTAGAAGTGATACTAAGAGCTTATAGTACTCCGATTCTTCATTTTCTTGAAGTGATATTGTCCAATTACAAGGAAAAACTTTTCAAGTTTGACCATACTCATGTCGGACAAATACCAACATCAAACACTCACAACCCTAGTTTGAGTAACATAGCTGACAATTAGTAGTTCAGTTGTTTGTGATAGAACCAAATCATAATAAATATGAAAACTAACCAGAATCTAATTATGCTAAATCATCAAGAATAAAATATTAGATACAGAAGCGTACCTGAATTAATTGATAGGTTGAAATCCTTGAACTTTCTTTGGTTGTGATCTTCCAATTATAAGAGTAATACAAGTAAACCTATTCCACTCCTAATCAAATTATATATACAACTTATGATATATACACTTTCAATTCTATGACATTTTAATACCTATGACACATGTAACATAATCGATCATTTAATTTTGTATCATACTTTATGATAGCATTACGCATTATACATATATCCAACAATTATAGATTTTAATCCAACAGTTTGCTCACTGAGTAACTGAGTTCTTTTCTATTTTAATTAAGGATTTTAAAGATTCTATAGCAATTTACCCTGATTTGAGTAATGTGAGGTATGCATCCATTTCATTTCTGTCTGTTTATATATCTTCTCGGCCAACTTTTGTTTTTATTGTTAGGATTCCGATTGTGTATGCAGATTGAGTGAGTTGGAGTTATTGCTACAAAAGGTGGTTGCTGCTAAATAATCAAAGGATTCAAAGTAAGATCTAAATAATCAAAGGATTCAAAGTAAGATCTTCCATTGATCTTATAGAATTTTATTTTTCCTGCATCGGTTTAAACAACTGTTGTTCTAATCATATAGTAATTGTAAATGTATACGGATTATAACATTTGAGGCAGTAAATGTATAAGAATTATGAAATGAATATTTAATGGTTGGGTCAAATGAAACCTTCATGCTTCCACTATTACTAGCTGTAAGTTTCCAAAATTTTGCGTATTAAAAATTGTAGCAATCTATCTAATTCCAACTATATGCCCTATATCTAAATATATATTTTTAATTTAATCACCCGTATTTGATCTATTGATTAGTTAATCCAGATCGGATTTTATAAAAGTTCATTGTGGGGTAACCCTCTTAACCTAATTTACTCTATTCACGAACGTCAATATTCGAACCTCTAATATTGTTTTAAAAATTTTGTGTCTCAATCCACTATATCAACTCATTGTCGGTTGTATTAAATATTTTTTTATTTGTAAGCAACAAATGAAATTGATTGCACCCATGACTTGTGATGGTGCACCCCACTACCTTTTTAAAATCTATTTTTCTATAGCAAACTTAGAATTTGAATTTCACATGTATTGAGTAGAAATCATCAATTGCCAAATTTTAATTTAGTTTTGAACATACCAAACGTAAAATTATATTGTTGTTTATAAAATTAATATATTTTAATTGATGTTAAAAACATGTTTTTATATTATTTTAAAAATCATATTACGATTAATATGTTTTGTAAATTAATTTCAATCACTATATAATTTAAATATTATTTTTGTCAATAATATATCAAATTGTTTGTTGGACAATTGGCCTAGTGACATGGCCTTGGAATAACTTTGCTAAGGTCCCTTATTCATTCATCCATAAAGCTTTACATTTTCTCCTGAATTTTCCTTAAATTTTCATCTTTAAAGTTATACATATTATCACTTTATTTGAGAGTATTAATCTAATAAAAAATATCATATCAACTATCATTAGTGACAATTGACATAAATAATTATAATAAAAATGAATTAAAATTTTACTAATTATAATGTAAATTTAAAAAGTTTAATAATCAAAATAGAAATTAAAAGTTTAGAGACTATCAACGTACTTTGCCTTTAAATATATATTTTATCATGACACTTACATTCATTGTAGTATTAGCTTATTTTTGATAAATTTTAAATTTAATCTTAATCCTACTTTTTTTTAAAAAAAAGAATGGAGTCTCTAGGAAAAAGAAGATGAATACTCTTAGGGTGCGTTTGGTTCACGAAATGTAAGATTACCGGTGGGAATAAAAGATTACATGAGAATAAGATTACTGAGAATGTTGTATTTTGTGTTTGATTGGTTTAGTAGGAATGTAAGTTTACAGTGTTTGGTTAAAAGAATAAAAGATTATTGGAATGTATATTTTACTAAATTTTCTTTATTATATATATATTTTCTAACAAGTTGAATTCTACTATAATATCACTATAATTAATTTTTTTTGAAAGAAAAAAAATTAATTATAGTGATATTATTGTAGAATTCACTATAATTAATTTATATATTTTCTTTAAAAATTTTAAATTCATAAAATTCATATAATTTTTTTTTACAAAATTGAAAAGATAAATAGGTTTAATGAAAGGGTAAAATTTTATTTTAACCTCTGAACTTCATATAAAATTCTAATTATGGACTTTTTTGTAAATCTAAAATAGTTTAAGGATAAATTTATAATTTAACATTTGGAGAATTTTTATTATTCAATGACAGAAGAATGATAATTTTGAAAAAAATAATTTAAGGGCATTTTAGTCCAAAACGCCGGTAATCCAACAATAACTAAGGAATGGGTAATCACATTCCCGATAATATACCCCAAAAAATCCACTATTGATACTAAAAGATTACCGGGGCTGGGAATGTTGGCCAACCAAACGGGGGAATGAGGAATTGGTAATAAAATATACCTTGAACCAAACAGCCCCTTAGTCTAAAACTCATGACCTAAAAGAATAAGAAAGAACAAAGATGAACAATTTGATCAATCGATCAAATGGGTTTGCTCTTGTAGTATTAAATTTTAAATATATATATTTTATATAAAATACTTCTTTTTTGGTTTTTGATGTATATATTAAAGTCTCTAATGGAATTTGATACCACTTAACTTTTGGCTTAATTAAGAAAATATGCAAAATTCAAAGAATAAAATATTATAATTATAATAATTATTTTATTTTATTTGCACTAATAAATAACTATAATCAATTTTCTTTTTTAAAATTCAAACTACTTACTCACCAAGTTTTAATTTGGGATCACTTGTTACATATAATCTTATTTTAAATTTAAAAGTGTTATGAATCACATATTACAATTATTCTATTGTATTGTAATTTTCTAATAAAATATATTTATTTATATTAATAATTAAAATTTTGATTGAGTTTGTTATCACAAGATAACTTGAACATTAACTTCATTGATAAATAGAATTTTACTTATATTTTAAAATTTAAAAATATTTTTAAGATTATTTTTATCTTTTTCATAATTTTATAAAATCTTTAAATAAAATTACTAAAACTCATAACTTCTGATTAAACACATGATCAAAAGTTTTTAAACACAAGCCTTTCACCATTTCATTCATAATCAATTGATATTTTAGATTTAAAAAATGAAACTATTTATATATATATATATATATATATATATATATATATATTAAATATATTAATACTGACTGTAGATACTCGTTTTGTCCGGGGCTCTCTTTCAAATTTTTACTCCATTTTATATATATTACTATTTAGTTATTATTACCAAGTCTTGCATATCTATTATTATTAGTTTATTATTGGCATGTGTGTTTAATTACGTATTGACCGTTCATTTAATTATATGAGTTGTTAGGCTTGTAGTCATGTATATATATATATAAGTATTTATGGGTATATGAAAATATATATATATATATATGTGCATATAAGTATGTTATGATAAATGGATTTACTAAGTAATTGATTTTTACAGGCCCAAATTACAAAATGATTACAACAGTGGAACCTAAGCAGGCTCAGTCGCATAGCAACCCAAATTTAAGAAAACCCTAAAACCCATTAGGGTTTCCAGCTTCTATCCAAGGTTAGAGTCGCCGCTCACCCTGGACCGTTGGATCTGCTTCTAATCCAATGGTCCAGATTAAAGGACCATTAGGGTTTTTGCCCTATGCCCAGCGCCGCCGAAGCCTGCGCCGTTGGATCTGATGAGATCCAACGACTCTCAATGATCACAGAATACTGAGACAGTGCACACAGCACCCACCATGCATTCCTCGGGACAGCACGAACCAACCGGGTGCTACCCACGTGAAGTCCCTCGGGGCTGTTCCCCATCGCCCGTGCCCAGGCTGCTGAAGCCCCGTGACCAGCTCACGCCCGTGACCTGCTCGCTCCAGAGCCCTGCAAACACACCAAACGAGAGCAGAAACAGACGAAAACAAAACGAGAGAGGAGGGGATCTACTAGAAATAACCAGAAGGGAGAACGAAAAAAGGGGGAGGGGATCTATCAGCGGGAAAAAAGGAAAAAAAGAACCAGCCATTATCAACCAAAGAACCAACGAAAACCGGGATCCATCAGTAGAAAGGAGAGAATAATGACAAACGAAAGACCCAGAAGATCATTCATCAACAACCAGAGAACAAAACGAAAGCAAAAGAGACTTACCCTTCCGATCCAGTAGCTTTCGTCACTAGGAATCCATACCCCGTCTCTGAGAAGGTAAAACTTTTCATCTCCCATTGATTTTGAGTCGTGCATGTTGGTTTTAGGTCTCGGGCTTTAGGGATTTGAAGGGTTCAGTACAAGATTGGTCATAGTTCGACCGGGTAACGGGGCTAGGGTCGCGTGGTTTAGCAGTAAGGTAAGGGTTTAGTTTAGCCCCTTTGGTTTTGGGTTTTTTCGGAGAGGTGTTCTCGTCGGGGCCGTATGAAGGTAGCAACCATGGCGGTTGCTACGGCGGAGGCGACGGAGGCTCGACTTTCACGTAGGGTTAAGCGAAGAGAGAAGAGAGGGATTTGAGAGGAAACGGCGGGGTATCCGGCCAGGGTTAAGAGGAAAAATGAGTTAGGTCTTAAAATTTTACCCTAATATTCTACATATTGAGACGCCAAAACGGCGTAGTCTCGCGAGGGTGTGAAACGGTTTCGTTTTGCGGGGTGGGAGCTGTCTGTGTTTTGGGATGGTTGGGTTAATCGTGTGTGAGGTCCAGTAAGTTCAACCCCGTTGCATGTTGGTCCCTAAATCCAACTTTATTGTAATGTTAATTTCGCCTCGTAATTTCCAGCGTGTTACATTTTAATCCAGAATCATGTTAGGGCTATTTTGATGTTGTTTATACATTGGATATGTAATTTAGAAAACCTGCAATTTAATCCTATGCAATATTTTGGGTTATATTATGATTGCAGTACATGAAAATGGATTTTTTTATTAAAATGAACATGTTGTTTAACTTTTTTTATTTTAGTCCATTGTTTAATATTTTAGGTTAATTTAGATTTATTTTAAGTGTATGCATGCATATTATTTTGAGCCTGTAATTCGCATAGATGTAGGTGTAATTTATTTTTATAAGTATGTTGAATTCATTTACTTTAATCGCATATTTAATTGATCTTTGCATTAACATCACTTTGTATGATTCGCATTATAGCCTCACGTGCATGATTCGACTCTTGCTACATAATTGGATTAAGGGTAATATATTTTTAATTTAATATGTCGGAATGGCTTCTCTCAACTTACTAGAGAGTTGTTTTGACAATTTTAAATTAAAATTGTATCCCGTCAGTAACGCCTAATTAAATTTGGATCTATCACTTTAAAATTTGGGAATGAAAGAAAAAGAAATATTCGGCTATTTAAATTATTTGAGAAAAGATCGTTAGAACTCACCTAAAGATCTGGTCTCGATATTTTTAAATAATCGAATATCCTTTATCTTTCTAATGGTTTGGTAATTTCAATTAAATTTATCTTGTTCCTTTGAATGTTGTAAATTTTGCATTTTTGTTTGTTTTAAGGGATCATAAATCAAATTAAATTCGAACTTGTGAAATTCGTTGCAAAGACAATAATTAATCGATTAGGTACCAATTTAGGGCGTT